GGGTGGCCCTGGGGGCTCAAGCCAGTGGGTTCTAACACTGTAATGTGCAACCTTGACTTCCGCCTCACCGTGTACTGGCTGCGTACTGGCTGGCTGGCTGGCTGGACAGGAAACCTGTAAAGTGCTTGGTAAATGGTGACAGGAGCCGTAATAAGACTCCCATCCAGGACAGGCTGCTGTCTCTTCCTGTTTATCCAGCAACAAGCACATTTGCTTGGAGAGATCCCGGAATTGCAAGTTCAGTATAAATCCGGATATATACTCCTTACACTGAAGGAAACCCAGCTGTATTAGTCGATAATTTGGACCTAGAGGATAGATCCTCTGTATTTTAATAACCAAATGTCACCAAAATCTTTAACGATTTATACTTGCGAGCCGCACGCATCTTCCTTTAGAGGTGAGAATTCAGTGTCAGCAGTTGAGTATTTTAGAAGTACCTAGCGTGCATTATTAGCGTTGAATGCCTCACTTGTGTCCTTGTCACGGTGATAACAAGTGTATTTCAACACTCAGGAAGGACACGTGAGCACAGTCCAGGTGCTCTTAGCCTTGGGTGCCGACATCAACTGTAAAGACGCAAGAAATCGATCAGGTAGGCTTCTTACACATGCCTTGGAAGTTAATAGTAAACTGGATGTAAACGGTACACGGACTTTCTTATTAAAAACACTGGCTTTCATGTTACGCCCCTAGTAGCTCAGCAAGCTTTGTTTCGAATAACATCTGTTGGCAAAGCTGTGGGAACGTTGCTGTTACCATGGCAATGGTGATGCCTGCTGCTCATTGCCACTGTGTTGTTATCACCGGTATTTGAACCACAGCAGCGCGTGCGTGCACTGTGGACGTACTTTCTATCCTAATCCACGACGATGCCAGCTGTCCCAGTAGTACAGATTTTTCTTAGGTTGTCTCTCTTTCGAGTGTATTTGAAAACTGAAACCACTATAATTTCTTAAAGTTGGGGCTCAGAAAAATGCTTTCAGAGCTAATCCTCTGGATTCGGACATTAGAATAAACCCTCCCCTTAACACCCTGTGCTCTGGCGGCATACCTTGCCCATACGTTCATGATGCTTCAGAAACTCCCTCCGAGGCTGCAGAGGACAGTCACCAAGTTCAGGGACACAAGACTTTTCTCCGCAGAACACGGGATCCTGGGGCTCATGATGCCAGAAACCTTCAGTGCTAGTTTTCCAAGGGAAGGTGTGTCAGTTTTTCTTTTTGTCACATCATTCTTATTTATGGCAGTATTTCTTTTAAAATTTTTTTTTTCAACGTTTTTATTTATTTCTTTGGGGACAGAGAGAGACAGAGCATGAACGGGGGAGGGGCAGAGAGAGAGGGAGACACAGAATCGGAAACAGGCTCCAGGCTCTGAGCCATCAGCCCAGAGCCTGACGCGGGGCTCGAACTCCCGGACCGCGAGATCGTGACCTGGCTGAAGTCGGACGCTTAACCGACTGCGCCACCCAGGCGCCCCTATGGCAGTATTTCTACTTACACGGAAAATTCACAGAACTTTGAAAGTCTTTTCTTTGCCATTTCAAGTCTCCTGTTTCTCGTTCGTTAAATTGCTTGGTTGCTGTAGACAGATCTGTTAAGTCTTCTAAATGGTTGATGTTTTTAAAACCATTTCCAACCCAATCAGGTTAAAAGGAAAAATGTTTTGATCTAGTAGAGACAAAGGTGTAGAGACAAATTTACAGAATACAGAAATTCTGTGTAGCCGAAGGGGTGTTGTTTGTAGGAATAGCTGCTCCCCGGGTGGGCGTCGCCCCAGGGGTCCCACGCCAGATTTGTGTGGCCTCTGTCTCCACGCAGCCCTGCACCTGGCCTGCGCAGGCCAGCACGCGGCTTGTGTCGAGCTCCTTCTGCGGTCCGGGCTGAGGGACTCTCGGGACGACACGGGTGCCCTGGCTCAGCAGCTCGCGTGCGGCACGGACACCCTTCAGTGCTTCGACCACAGCGCGGTGTCCTGAGGGCATTTCTGAGGAGGACAGCAAAACGCATGGTGATTCACATCCTGCTTGGGGAGTTCAGTGAAGTCGGTCAGTAGCCAGCGGCCTCTGCCTCCCCTCTACCCCCGGGTCTTGAGGAGGCTGGTATCCTAGGTGTGACCCACACACGGGCAGATCTGGACTCAGGAGTGCCCCGAGTCTTCCATAATCTGGATTTCGCTTTTTCTGCCCTGCAAGTGAAATTAGATGATTATGAAGTCGGTGTCTGGAACCCTTAGAAATGCACGTAATTGCGTGAATACGGTATAGCATATGTATTTACACATATGTGTTCTACGGTTAATGCTATGGGGTAAGGCAGTGGTAAGAAGTGGCTATTTGTGTGAACCATAAAACATAACTGGCCTGTTTACTTTTTTCTTTTATTTACTTACTTCTTCAGAGAGCACGTGCGATACAGAGATAGAGGACGAGAGAGAATCCCAAGTGGGCTCCGCGCTCATAGCTCGGGGCTTGATCCCTCAAACCGCGACCCGAGCCAACATCAAGAGCTGGCTGCTGAACTGACTAAGCCACCCAGGCACCCCTGCCTGTTTACTTTCTTCTTTCATAGGCTTTTTCTTGGCCATGACATTGGTTTCACTTTGGTTTTGGAGCCAGGAAGGAGATGCTTCCAACCTGCTTACACGGACATTTGGGAGGAAATAATGAAAATGTTTCTATATTCTGTGCACTGCTAGTTAAGCTATGACATTTTAATCTTGAGGTTATTTTTATTAGGTTCTGTGTTGGCTTCTTTCGGGTAATAAATACACCTAAAAAAATGCATCTAAGATACTTTCAAAATCTTTCTGGCACCCCAGTTTAAGAATGGAGTTCTTGAAACCCACAGGTCACATTTCCTGTCCGTAACACCTGCCCACCAAGGCCTGTGACCGTTCAGAACGGCCACTTGACATTGTACCTCCACAAACTTTGTGGCAGTTGAAACAGATTGAAGACAGGATGAGTCCTCAGGCATTTGGATTCTTTTTTTTTTTCCTTTTTTTTCGGGGGAGGGGTGGGGGGTTGGGTTGAAGATCATTTTCTCTGAGTGTCAGAGAATAATTAGCCCAAGTCAGTCTGTTAGAAAATCCCACGTGTCAGTCACGAGGAACACTTGGTCCTCGTGTTTGTTGTAGCAGGAATTTCTGGTTCTTCATCCTCCCAGATGATGGCTGATTCCTAGTCCTAACAACCGGATAAACGTTCTGGGAGAGACACTCGGTTACAAAAGTGTCTCGTGACCCCTGAATCGTATCGGTGTTCATCTGTGCCAATTCGAGCTTCAGAGATGTCCCCGTGTCGCTGCCCCTGGGCGTGAAGATGGTCCCGTTGCATGTGGGGGGATGGGAGGATTTGTGTCGTGCTGGCTGCCTTCTCTGCGCACGCATGCGACGCGGGTTCTGAGAGGCAGCGGCTCCGTGCGGGTCCGTTCACATCTGTAGCCATGCTTCCACCTTACAAACTAGCGGCTGACATGGTGCATGAGGCCGTGTCCTGGCTTGATGCCTTGTGACGTGGGCCGTGAAGGCCGGTGACAACAGCGGCAGAGACGGTGCGGATGGTCCAGTAACAGTCGGCACCTGTGGGGACGTGGGGACATGGGGACGCCGTGCCAGGAAGGAGTCGTGCCCCTCACTTCCTAATTGTGGCTGTCTCGCTTGCTCTGGTCTCAAAATTCTGTGACCTTCCAGGGAGGCCCCCCACCCCCCCCCCAGGCCACCCGACCTAAAATTTTGTCTCCCCCCTCCTTCACTCCGGACCTCCTTTCCCTTGCCTCCTCCTCAGCACTTAACCACCACCAAATATGCTACACATTTTGAGTCGTTTTCTTCATTTACTGTATGTCTCCCCCACGAGATGTAGACTCCGGGCGGGGATTTTGTCTTGTTCACTCGCTGTGTCTACAGGTCTCAGAACAGCACCTGGCATGAAGCGGGTACTATTATGTGGCCAACAAGTGACACAAGGGTCACTTGTGTCTCTTGAACGCTGACTGCATCCTGGATCCGGTGCTGAGTGAGTGCCCTGCCTAGTTGGTCTCTCAGGGTCCCTTGGGTCATGACCGATGCAGCCCCTCTAAGGTTTACTCCACCTCCAGCATCCCGACATCTCCACCCGGTTCCCCCACGGACGCTTCCTGGCCACCGCAGTCTAGCCCTTTGCTGTCACTCTGCAGGGTCACCGGGTCTTCCTAACTACCCATCGAGCAAGGTGTTTTTAGCCCTCATGTAACTGATCCTTTCAGTCAGTTTGATTGTTGGTCTGAATCAGTCCTGCCTTCCCGAAGCCCGTTTCTCGTCACGGCTGATAAGACACGCCTGGGTTTTTCTGACGTCTGTCTCCGTCTCTGGCGGGAGCACCTCTTCCAAGGCCGATCCTGAACAGCCATTGTGCCCCTGAGTGTGTGTCCTCACTCTGCGTGTGCTCCCAGCATCTCGTCTGTCCTCTGTCCGACTGCTCCACTGTGGGGACCCTCTGTAGTCCTGGTTTCTGTTGCCTGAATGCCCTAGGCTGTCCCACAAAACCCAGCTTCGTCGGTAGCCTGCTTACGTGCATGCTTGCATCGGCCACCACGGTGATGTCCCTGCAATCCGCCCACTGAAGCTGGAAGCCACAAGTCCGTGGCTCCTCTTGGGTAGGAAGCCCTGCTGAGTGACTCCATTCGTCTGGCCCTCAAGTTCTCATCCAGACCACCGTGGCGGCCTCCTGAGCGCCCTGTGCCCCCAGACCTGCCCTCCGTGGGGCTGTCCTGGAGCGCTCACGGATGTGACCAGGGGCGCTGACTGCTGATGGCACCCGTGCTTCCCTGTCCCGCTTCCACGGGGGCCTGTGGCTGGTCCCGCAAGCGCCCTGACCCACAGTGAGAGTCTGTTCTAAGACTGATGGGGGCACAAGCGTCTGGAAGGAGACACGAATTGTAAGAATTGCAATCATTTGAAAATAGCTATGGCCTAACATGTATTCCTGAAACAAATATGCAAGAAATATTTACAAGACAAAATAAGAAAGGGATGTCAAAACGGAAAAGAAATTACAGAAGTCAGGCCCGAAACACAGGCCTCCGTGAGGGGAGTTCAGGTAGGGAGAGCCTGGGGGGTTGGATTTGCCCAGATGCTGCTGCCGGAGACCGCCAGCAGGGGGCAGGCCCCTGGGTTCCACCAGGTTTTAAAGGCTCATTGTAAAATACAAAAAATAGTAAAGGAGAAAACAGAAATAACCTGTTATCCCACTACCGAGAAATAACCACTCTTACTTCCTCTAAGTCTTTAATACTTTAATACTCCAGTATATACTGGAGATGATGCCACATGCACAGCGTTCCCGTAACTTTATGCAGGAAACATACCCCAACACCCTACAAAACTTTGTGAACTTTTATTGTAATCACTATCTAATACTTCGCTGTTGTCGGCCATATTTATTCTCTGATACTGTCATCTTTGTTCTGTTAAGACAGGAAGCCATCAGACTCGACAGCAGGCAGAGGCAGGGGCATCAGAACTGAAAAAAGGCTCAGGTCTGATCCCAGGTCAGGGCTGCTTGGGGCTGAGAGATGCGGGGCTGGGGGACAGCGGGCCCATTGGACGGAGGGACTGGGGGACGGAGGGGCCAGTGGACAGTGGGGCCTGAGTGTTGGCCGTGCTCTTTTGGAGGTGCCGAGTTGTGTGAAAAGAAAGGAAAGGTAGGAAGACAATTTAAGAGGATAGGTTTTCTCAAAGGGTGAGACATAGTGTGTGTCAGACTCAGATAAGGGCCGAATGAAGGAAGAAAGTTGAAGCTGTGAGAGCTGAAGGCTTGTTGGTGGGGCCAGGAAACGGGGGTAGAAAGCCTGAAAGCTTCAGGGGCCTGGACGCCAGGATGCAGAGGTACGTGTGAGAAGGAAGACAGGATGATAAGGAGAAAGTTTCAGGTGCGACCCACATGCAAGTCTCCTGTAACATGAGTACTTGGCAGGCGTGAGGTTGGTGGGACACGTGTTAATGTTAACTTCTGCTTGTTTTTATAGGCTTTTTAAAACTGCTTTCCTGAGCCAGCAAGGGTGTGGAGGGTGGCAAGACCCAGTTACAGGTTGATGTGGTTTTCATTGAGAAGGAACAAGGTGCAAGTGAGGGCTTAGCTGTGGCAGGAAGGATTTGCTCATTGCACGGATGGAGGCCTGTCCTAGGGCATCTCCAGAGTGTTAATTCCCTTGGCCTTCCCTGAGAAAGGTATTTGACTTCATAACGCAGATGAGGCACTCCCGAGAAGAACACCGGGGAGGAGTCACGTCATCAGCCACCTAGGTTCTGCTCCTGTGCCTCTTCTGGCCTGAATACACCAAGCTATGTGTAAGTGCAGGCATTTCTGCCCACCTCCTGGTGCGTGCTAATCTCGTCCTCCTGCCTGGTCTCTAAAGCGCCCAGCGTGCTCGAGGGTGAGGGATGCGCTGCGGCCCCTGAAGAACATTTGAAAACACAGCAATCGGGGGCGCCTGGGTGGCTGGCTGGGAGCCGGGCCTCCAGGCCCTTTGGGGCCATTTTACTCTGGGTGGGAAGGAGGAAGCCACATGAGGGTGTGAGCAACTGAGTGATGAAATCGGCCCTAACGCTCACCAGGACCATTCAGAATGTTGGGAGGAAGCGAGAACCTGGTGAGGGGACATCACAGTAACTCCCGTGAGATGTAGTGACGTGCACCAGGATAGTGGGTGGCCGGGTGAGGAGGTGTAGGGTCTGTGTCCAAGGGGACAGCAGTACTTACTGGAGGCTTGGATGAGGGATGTGAGAGAAACAGGAAGAGAGTCAACTCTTTGGGCCTGAGCAAACAGGACAGAATCGCCCCTTCCTGGGCCAACAAGCGCAGGGTGGGGCGGGCGGGGGAGGAAGGTCAGGATTTGGGGTTTGGATGCTTAGGTGTGAACTGCCCGGTCGATGTCCAAGCGGGAATCCAGTAGTGAGTTGGACAGGAGACTGGAGTTCGGGCATGCAGTCTGGGCT